ATCTGGAGGCCTCTACAATGCTTCAGGTTAGGGGATGGTGAGTCACCAGAAAAGATCTACTGAGGATTATAGAACTTTCTACTACCAGGGAGGGGAGGCGGTCTAGAGTTTGAGTTTAATGACCATAGGCCAGTGATTTAATCAATCATTAAAGGCAACTTTACTAAAAACTTCTAAAATAGTTCAGAGAGCTTCTGGACTGGTGAACTCACTGAGGAACTGGGAAGGAGGCATATTAATAGAGAACATTGATGCTCAGCCTAGCTCTCCTGTCTCCCCATTTTACCTCCTGCATCGCTTGCATTTGCCTGTTCCTGAGTTGAATCTTTTGTAGTAAACTTGAAAGCTTATCAAATTACCTTTCTGAGTTATGTGAATTATTCAAGAAAATTATTGAGCTTGAGGAGGCAGTTGTGAGAACTTTGGAATTTATAGCTCAACAGGTAGAAGAACCAGTGCCAACCCGGGACTTGCACCCATTATCTGGAGAGAGAACTGAGACATTAAATTCACTGAATCTGAGGCTAACTGGGTAGTGTCAGGGATGAACTGAATTGTAGGACACTCATTTGGGATCCAGAGTTAGAGAACTGCATGACGTGGAAAATCCCCACACATTTGGTGTCAGAAATGTTAATAAAAATGATTCACAGTGGTATGTACAAGACTTTGGAAGCCAAGTAAAGGACAATGAATGGGAGTTTTCAGTAGATTTGAGTCTGGAGAGAGGAAGAATTTGTTTTTTATCTTAAAACTGGCTCAACATAGAAAAGGTGCTGAATATACATTAGTTGGAAGACTGTAATTGCTTGTTGACATGACATGGTGGCAGTGGAGATGGAGAGAATTAGACATTCAGAAATATTTAGGATGTAGTATAAACAGGTTTGAGGCTGACTCTCTGGCCTAGTGGTTAAGGGAGCTGAGTCCCATGTTTCTCGTTTGAGTCTTGGTCTTGGTGGCTTAAAAAATACTCCACGTGCATTGTGAGTGTTCAAAATCCCAACAGAATGCAGAAGGAGAAGGGATTGTGGTATCACCACTTCCCATAAGTGGACTGCTGATTCCCTTTCTCTCCGTCTTTCTATGTCTCTCTGATGAGTGCCTTCTGGAGGTTGAGTTCGATCACCATTGACTAGTATTTAATCAATCATGCCTGCTAATGACATTTTTACTAAAAACCTCTAAAGGACAGAGTTCAGAGATGTTCCAGTCTGGGAAACCTCTCTGAGATACTGGGAGGGTGGTGCATGAGTAGAGGGCATTGAAGCTTTGTCCCACTTTCTCTGGCAAACAAACAAACAAAAACAAAAACCCTAAACAGACAGGATTGGGTGGTGATTTTTTCAACTTATAATGGAAAGCCGAGACAAAGCGAATGCTTTATTTGGCTACAATAAAGATGATTAGGTGGGGACCAGCAGATGACATAATGGTTACATCGCTGGACTCCCACATGTCTGGCCGTGGTATGAGTCCCAGACCCGGAGGCTTGAAACTCATGCCAGGTGTGTGTGTGTGTGTGTGCCCAAAATCCTGAGGAGACTTAAGGAAAAGGGACTGTGGCATGGCTATCCCCCTCCCAGGGGTGATGGTGGTGATTTCTCACTTTCTGTCTCTGTCCAGTGAGCATATATGTGCCCTATAACAAAAATCACTCTTTTTTTTTTTAAAAAAAAGATGATTAAAGGATGATTTGCTCACACATAGCATCCAAGTTGCCCTGAATAGTGTATACCCAGGTCTACTAGATTTTAGAGTTTAAAGGCAGAAGTCACCAATGGGGAGGGGGAAAGAATGAGTTCAATTCTGACAATGGCAAGTAAATAGTTCTTCTTGTGGAGCTGAATAGGATCAGGAGAAGGACAATACCTGAGACAAACTTGTCCAGGTGTATTGACATTTTTCAGTTCTCTTTCCTGCAATATAAGGTTAGTTAATGAAATGTTAGGGAGAGGGCTGAAGGCAACTGTTCTCTTCTTTGGTGGGCTCAGTTCATAGCCCAATATTGGAACATTAGAGCGAAGTCCTTTCTTGTATTTTGGGAGGAAAAAGGGATCAAAGATGGTTGAGAAGGGACATGGGGAAGGTCACAGACAGGCTTGGTTCTGAGGCTGTTTTCCCAAAAAGATTATGGCAAAGCTGGAGTGTGCTAGGGGCACTTTCTGTCAGCCTCCCTCTGTGTGAGTTTAGTCTCAACAGCTTCTTGGCCCCATTCTGAAACAGATGGGTTTTTTAATTTTAAAAAATTTTCTAATTGGGGACCAGCAAGTGGCATGGTAATTGCAGCCTTGAACTCCTACATGGCCAACTGCAATTCAAGTCCCAGATCTGGCAACTTGCTTTCTCTCTCTTTCTAGTCAAAATGAATAATAATAACAATAAAATTAAATTATTTTTAAAAATTGCAATTGTGTATGTACCTGCAGGTGGCAAGAGGGAGATGTCAAAGGATAACTCAGATTTTGGGTTTATCACTCATCTTTGCCAACTTTTCAGTTGTGTTTATAATTTTTTATTCAACATACTGAAATTTCCAATTTCTCTTTAGTTGTATAATCTGTAAAGAATTCAGTATATGTTGAGAATTATTTTAGCATTTTGACTTATCACATGAGATCAGATGTGGAATTTTCTGCTGTGGTGTCATGTTGATGCTCAAGAGTTTTAGATTTTGTAATATTTTAGAGTAGGGATGCTCAAACTGTATTTTTAAGAAATAGAGATGTGGGATTCTAAGATACACATACTGATTTCTTGTCCTCTTTTTAGATTGCTTAGCGATATCATAATTTATCAAATAAATGAGAATTTACTATGAGCAAGCACTGGTTAGACACAGTGAGGGAGTGATTCAGAACTAAATTGAATGTAGCCTCAGTGTTAAACCTCTGACACCTTATTTTCTTCATTGACTCATTGATGTTTTATTGTCATTATCCTATAGTTTTCATATAGTTAAAATAATTTTCTATGGTTACTTAAAATATTTACTATAGATTCTCAAGGTTTATATTTCTAGTCTTCTCTTTGTTGGTTATGACCAATGGTCATCCATCCATTTATTCAAACCCTTATTGAATGTATAATAACTGTATTTTTAGTTATATATTCTTAACAAGTTCATAGCTATCTGTCCATTATAAAAAATAATATAATACTTTTTTTTTTTTTTTTGGTCTTAAAGCAATCTCTTGCAAACTTCAAGAGTTGTACTTTTTAATTCTATTGTGTTGTCAGAAAACTCATGACATATTTTGTCTATGTTTTTCTATGCAAAAATGCATTTTAACTTTTCCAACAATGCAGTAGTTTTCTGGAATTTGATAACCATTCCCTGATAAGCCTGTTCAGTGCCCTCATGCTTTAGGATAAACCTTGTTCCATTTTGCTTTCGCCATTCTAGACAGGAGTAGTCTTGTTTTTTTGGGTTGTACTTAGGCCATACTCTTGATTGTTTTAGCTGCTCTTCAAAGGTCCAATTTCTGTTATTTCCTTTTTGGAAATACTTGATATTGGATAGTTGCTACAGGCATGTCATGTCAGAACATACTTCAGTGATACTAGGCCTAGAGCTAGTTCTTAAAAACATTTGTTTTGAGGTTGGCAGGTGGTGTGATGCTAGATTCTCACATGACCAACCGTGATTTGGTCATGGACCTGGTGGCTTGCTTTCTCACTTCCTTCTCTCTCTCTCTCTCTCTCTAGTGAGCACATGTACCCTATAGCAAATTGGAAAATAATGATAATGATAAAAATTTATTTTTTTTCCCCTTTGGCTAGTTCATATCTATTTATAACACTTAAAAATAAAAATGTATCTGGAGCCAGTAGGTGGCATGGTGGTTATGTTGCTGGACTCCCACATGGTTGACTGTGGTTCATGTCCCAGACCTGGTGGCTTAAAAATCACATTGGGTATGTGTGCATACATGCCCAAGATCACAGGAAGAGAATGGAGGAGAAGGGGTTGTGGCATGGCTATCCTGCTGAGGAGGGATTACTCACTTCCTCCCTCACTGTCTCTCTCTCAGGTGAGCAGGTATGCCCTAAGGCAAAAACCTCTTTAAAAAAATGAAAATGTATCAGTTTGTATCCACCCAATAGATGTGTGTTATAGGAAACCTAAAAGACTTTCTTTTTAAAAAACATTTATCCGCCTATCTATCTATTTGTTGCAATTTTCAAGCCACCGGGTCTGGGACTTGAAATGTGGTCGGTGTATGAGAATCCAGCACCTTAATAAACATCATGCCATTTGCTGGCCCCCTAAAAGAATTTCTAAACTTTTTGTTTTGTAGAGGTTTTTGCCTTAGGATGCAGGCACTCACAGGAGAAAGAGACAGACAATGAGAGGGAAAATGAGAAATCACCTACCCCTCCCCCACTCCCCCAGGGGGAATCTACATGCCACAATCCTTCCTCCTCCATTCTTTTGGTATTTGGGACATGCACACATACATACCCAGCATGTGTTTTTTAAGTCTTTGGGTCCAGGACTGGAATCATGGTCGGCTACGTGGGAGTTCAGTAATGCAATAATTATATCATCTGCTGATCCCAGTTCATTTTCTTTTAACATTATAAAGGCCTTAAACTTTTAGATTTAAAATTATCAACTAAATCATTAATGAAGCTCTTACTAACTTGAACTTGATTTTCTATCTAGTTGAATCTTTCATTTGTTTCTTTCCCAAGTATTCTTTTGTTTGGAAAAGGAAATTATCATTGGTTTTTGTGTAGGATATGGTCTTCTTAATTTCTCAGCTACTATTCTTTCATAAATTACTGTGACTACATTTGAAATTTTATGTAAGTTAAAAGTATGGTGTACCCCAAAATTTCAGTGCAGTTTTAACTTTTAATAACTTCACAGTTATAAGAACCACAGACTTAGCAAAAGTATCATTTGAATGTTTAATTATTTACATTTATTTTGAATTCATATAGTTTTGTGAATTTTGAGTAACAGTATTTAACTTTAATTTTCTTCTTTTCAGTTCTTTTGATTGAAGATTCCAAGTGAGAAGAAAAAGTTAATTGTGCATTCTGGTCAGCTGAACTCAACTTGGTAACAGTAAGATGAAAATTTACCTCCTATTATAAGAAGGAGGCTTCCCATAGGCTGTAACTAAAAACTGGGAAAAATTTCTAGGATACTAAACTCATGAGTTCATTTCAAGCCTCAGTTTGGTGGAAAATGCCAACAAGTGGAGATACTTGCAGAAATTGAGATGAATTAGCATAGTGTCCAAAAAATGTACTCCACTCATTTGCTGAATTAAATAGTCTAGAACTACAGGTTACAGAATTCTAAGGGTGAAACGCCAAAGCTTACATATATATTGAAATGCTATAAAAAGTTTACTTCACTAAGGTACTGCTGTCAACTAAGGAAGTAAAAAAATGGAAAATTCTGGTGATATTCTTGACGAGCTGACCTTTTTTTTTTTTTTTTTTTTGCCATAGGGCTGGCACCACCACACCCAACAAATTGACTATTTCTAATGAAGCAACCTTCTTTTTTTTTTTTTTTCCTTTTTTGGAGATGTTTTTGCTTTATGGTGTGTGCGCTTGCCAGAAAGACAGAGACAGACAGACAGAGAGAAAGTGAGAAATCACTCCCCAGGGGGGACTGGCCACACTGCAATCCCTTCTCTTCCATTCTTCTCTTGGGATCTTGGGCACACACACAACACACACACACACACACACACACACACACACACACACACCTGAAGTAAGTTTAAGCCACTGGGTCTGGGACTTGAACTGTTGACTACATAGGAATCCAGCGATGTAGCCATTATGTCATCTGCTGGTCCTGTAATGAAGCACTCATCTAAAGTGTTAGTGTTGTTTATCAGAATTGCTATTTGGTGTATAGAAAAGTCCCAGAAGTTTGACAGTGAGAAAACCCCCAACAGTTAACATCTGGTTTGGCATTAGGGAGTTTTGCCTTATCTGCCCTTCCTTTTTTCATTGAAATGTAATTCATATACTTAAAATTCACCCTTTTTTTGTTTATTTATCTGTTTATTTAGTCATTCACTGTACATCAATATAATATACAAAATTAGATTTTCCATCTAGTATACATTGTATATTGGCTTAGTCAAGGATATTACCATACATGCTATCATCAAGAAATAATTTTGTATTTCTTATTTCTTATAGATTTTGCTTATTTTTTCCACCTTGGTTCCTTACCTCTCACCCTTTGCCAACTCCCCCCTCCTCCCATGCTGTCTCTGCTATGTACAGTTGTTTTCCATACCTTTTTTTTTCACATTTTGTTGATTCACTAAAGATCATAATTAATTTAAAGACTTTTAATAGCAAGCACAGCTGATATGTACATATTTAGGAACGTATATCTGACTTTAGGTGTGAAGTGAACATACTATAAAGTAACAACTCACTGGGGCTACATAGCTTATTGCAGTCATTAAATAGGTATTTTTAAATGTACTTTTTAATGAAAAAAGTTTAGTTTTAATAGAACAAAATTTTAAAATGTTAAAAGAAATTTGCTTAAAACTTAAAGCCAGGAGAAAGGTTAGGATTCAGTTCAAAGAATAGGTAGATGAACCTATCAGCAGTTCAACAAAAATCTTTAAATATGAAAATCAAAGTATCAAAGAAAATCAGTAATGTTTTAGTCTAAAGTCAAAAAATTCTATTTCACTAGTTAGACTCACGTAATTAATCTTTCCATTTAAACTCTGGGAATTAACATTTGATTCCGGACCTGTCCCTACCATTAGGCTGGCTATTCTCTTTCTTGTTTATTGTACTCTTATTTCTGTGTGTCTGACTTTAGTTTTCCTGATATAGCACTCCCTTTAGAACTTCTTGGAGAGCTAGTCTGGTGTTGGTAAATTCTTTCAGGTTTTGTTTATCTGAGAATGTTTTTGTCTTTTTTTCCCATATGAAAGATAATCTTGCTGTGTATAGTATTCTTGGTTGAAATTGTTTTTTACTTAGCACTTTGACTATATTTTTCCATTCTTTCCTTGCTTGCATTTTTTTCCAATGAGAGGTCCAACCTTAGCCTTATGGGATATCCTTTGAAAGTAACTTGATGTTTCTCTCTTGCCAGTTTTAGTCCCTATCTGTGGTTTTGGTCAATCTGGCTATGATGTGACTTAGAGAAGATATTCTTGGGTCGATTCTTTGTGGGGTCCTTTGTATTTCCTGGGTATGGATATTTGAGTGCCTCTCTAGGTTTGGAAAGTTTTCTTTCAAGATTTCATGGAATAGATTATCAATTCCCTTATTAGCCTCGTCATCTTCTGGAATACTGATGATCCGGATGTTTGGGTGTTTAATGGTATCTAGTATTACTTGTATGTAGTTTTCATTTTGGGGGGTTATTTCCTCAGTCTTTTTAGTGAATTTTTCTAGGTCAGATGTTCAATCTTGATATAGAAAATTTTATCTTCTGCATGATCTAATCTGCTTTTGATATTTTCAAGGGAAGTGTTGATTTCCTGTATTACAGCCTTCATCTCTAACAATTCCGTTTGATTCTTTTTTATGATGTGTGTCTCCTCTTTCAGATCGTGCAAGAACTTCCTCACCTCTTAGAACTTGGTTTGTCGTCTCTATTCTCTTGGATCTCTGTTAGCTTTGTTTCTATGAATAATTTAAATTCTTTATCTGACATTCCCATGAGTTCCTTTGTATTCTTTGTGGGGAAAGAAGAGTTATTCTGTTCCATTAGAGGAGAAATGTTTTCTTCATTTCTTATATTTCTTGTCCCTCTACCATGGTTTCTGGTCATCTGATGGATTATGCTTTTATTCCTATTTTTTAGAGTTAAATCTGAGCAATCAGAGGAAGGCAGAAAGAAGTGACCTGCAGTCTGTAAACAGTACTGTTTTTCTCCCTTTATACAACAGATTCAGTGAAAATTGAGGATTAACCTGACCCTAAAAGTATTCAGCTATTTAGCTACTGAGCACATAGACATGTCTAGAAAATCAGTGTATGGAGTCTGAGCAGAAAAGTGAGAAAAGTAAAAAGACAAGAAAAAGGAAGGAAAAAACAAAGAAGAGAGAGAGAAAAAAAGGACAAAAACAATAAGAAAAAGATAGGAAAAAATAATTTTGTCAAAAAATGAAAAGCCCATGGCACGCTAGCATGCCCCGCCAATAGTGCCACTTGGAGCTCAAATATAGATGGCTGTTGGGACCAGCAGTTAGCATAATGGCTATGTCGCTGGACTCCCATGTAGCCGACCATGGTTTGAGTTCCTGACCTGGTGACTTAAACTCATGCCGGGCGCGTGTGCATGTATGCCCAAGATCCCGAGAGGAGAATGGAGGAGAAGGGATTGCGGCGTGGCCATCCCCCTGGGAAGTGATTTCAAGCTTTCTGTCTCTCTGTCTCTCTGGCGAGCACACATGCCCTATAGCTAAAACCTCTCAAAAAAGAAAAAAAAAGATGGCTGCTGATTGGTTTATCCTATGGGGGCAGGGGAAAGGTAAGAATTAGAAAGACAAAAGAACAGCAGAGAGCTAAGTTGAAAAATTAAAAAGAGAGAGAGAGATTGAAAGAGACAGAGAGAATAAGTAGGGTGCTCTAACCTGACTGCTGGCTAGACTAGGGAGCAGGAGGGTGTAGTCTAGGCAGAGGATCTTTGGTGGTCAAAATCCCTGAATGGGGCCACTTGGAGCTCAAATATAGATGGCTGCTGATTAGTTTATCTTGACTCCAGGCTAGACTGGGGAACAGGAAGGTGAAGTCTAGGCAGAGGGTCTTTGGTGGTCAAAGTCCTAACACACACTCTTTAAAAATTTATTTTTTTGCCAGAGGGCAAATGTGCTTTCCAGGGTGAGAAAGAGAAAGCAAGAAAGCATACCCTTCCCATGGGGCATGGTCCTTCCCTAATCCCTTCTCTAACTCACTCTCCTTTTAGGATTTGAGACATGCACACACACATGTAGTTTTCATTTTGGGGGGGTGTCTCTCCAACCACTGGGTCCAGGACTCAAACAGTGCAGTGGACCATGTGGAATCCACCTGACTTAACTGCCAGGCCAGAGGCTGGCCGTAAAAATTCAGTTGAGTAGGTTTTATAACCAAAACTTTGCCACTTATCACTACTGTCAAGTTCAAAGCATTTTCATCCCTCTAAAACAATCCTAAATGTATTATCAGTACCTCCCCATTTCCTCCTTCCTCTGCTCCCAGGCAACAAATTTGCTTTCTATCTCTATGGATTTGCCCCATTTGTACTTTTTATATGTTGAGTTAAACAATGTAGGATCTTTTCTATCTGTTGGCCATTTCTTTTTGAAGAATCAATAGTTAATGACAAATCTTACTTAATAGTATTTCACAGTTTTTTCATTTCCACACTTGAGAGGTCACTCTGATAAACAGTACAATACTCTTAAATAATACCATGTTTTCAACAAGGTGGAGTACCTGCTACTCTATTGCATGTGTGACAATTTCTGGATGACAATTTCTCACAATAAGTCTTCTTGTTTGCCCTTCTCTGTAACTTATTCTGTTTCCATTAGACTTTTTTGGTGGAATTTATGTCAAAACTGTGGTATATGCCTCAAGGCCTTGTTCTTTGAATGATCTTATTATTAGAATTAGAAATGAAGTTCTTTTCATCACTGAACCAGCAGTGGACCATATGTATGTATTTGTGTGTATACTACATATATTTCTCTGATCCCTAGGAGGACCTAGAAGCAATGATAGTCTAGTACTAGTAACACACTAGTACTCAAATCTCTGTTTGTTTCAGTTATTTGTTTGTTATTAATCACCAAGGTGCTTTTGAGAGCGCCTGTGTCCCCAGTGGGGCCTTATGAGGCTATAATCCTTTTTCTTACTTCATTCTTCTATCCCATCAGGATTTTTTTTTTTTTTTTTTTTTTTTAGTGCGTATGCTGCCAAAGCAAGCATCCCATCAGGATTTTTGGCACACACGCACACACACATGCCTGGCATATTTTTCAAGCCTCCTGGACTGGGATATGAACCCCATTTTACAGTGTGGCTCCAACTTTCTATACACAGTGCTTAACTGTACCACAGTTGGCCCCAGATCTT